ACCCTGACTGCAAGGAAGCCCTGTACTAAGTGCCTCAGGAAGTCTTGAACATTGGAAACATGCATTCTTCCTATCTTCAGGGAGCTTACAGAATTCTTGGGGAGACAATGTGGAGATACCCAAAAACATGATGCTTGGCGTAAACGGGTATGTGAAGGTCAGCAAAGCGATATGGGCCCCAAAGAGTTCAGCTAGAGGCTTCTGGGGAGTAAAACACAGAGGTTTAGAGCTGAGAGGCCTGGATTCACATTCCAGGTTTGCCATTTATTAACTGATGGCTTTAGTCAAATTATATTGCCTCCATGGGTCTCAATTTTGTCATCTGTAAGATGATCCAGGAAATGGAGTGGGGTGGGCATCTACTCTGAGAGAAGAAGCCTTCCCCAACGCTGTTCTGACACTGTCCCAGGTGCATGGTTGAGGGTTGCGACTAAGGTGAGGCAAGAAAAGTACCTAGGGTGCACAATTTAAGGAGGTACTCACTGTCAAGCGTGACCTAGACCCCTCACTTGCTTTACCCTAGTCCAAGCCCTGCCCAGCTGTTCCAAAGGACTGAAATGATGAGGAGAGGAGATAGCATTGTTTCATGTCTGTGCTGTGCCAGGCGCTGAGCTTCATACCTCTCCCAAGTGATCTCATTTGACCTTCAAAACAAACCTAAAAGGCAGGTGTTTTACACCAATTAAAAAAACAAAATCAGAGAAGTTAATTACTTGCTCAAGGTCAGAGAGCTAAAGTCGGGTGTCAAACTCACGTATGGCTGGCTCCCAAGTCCATGCCCTTTCCACTCCACTTCAGCCCCCAAACTTCTAAGGGGATGGATCATCCTGGGGATTCTTTCCTACAACATTCTACATTGCAATTTGAGTCTCATTCAGGAGAGAAATCCCCCACTTTACATATCGGAAGCATGTTCAGATCTCTTACTAACAATGTTTTCTAAGATGGTCAATCAATACCAATCTCGCCTTTAGGCTTTTGTTTTTTATTAGTTCATCGATCCTCAATTTCATTATGAACACTCTGCTTTTACTACATCTCCTCCTGGCCATTTCTCAAATGCAGTTGTGGGGTCATGGACAAGACAGATGGATTGCGGACCAGGTTCTAACAAGAAGGCTGGCTCCCATTAAGCAGCTGATACTCAGGCTCTCTGGCATTTCTGTACTGCCATTCTGACAAGGCTAGCTCTGTGGCCTTGCGGGCAGGAGAGTGGGTTTCATCCAATCTCAAGTTAATTTCTGCTCTGAATTAGCTAGCGTTGAATGGATGAGCTTCTAAAGTGCCTGCCTTGTGATTCTATCCTAAGACCAACGTCGACGTGTGGATATTATCATCAATGTTTGTGCCCAGATTAGTTCAAGGCTTTCTCAGGGGTGCTACTGCCATGATCACAAGGCCAATCAGAATCAAGTTAACTGAAAATAGATGATGGTAATTTTCTTTTTTGTTTTTTGTTTTGGTTATCTAGATTTTTTTTTTTAATTGTACTTTAGATGAAGGTTTACAGGACAAAGTAGCTTCTCATTAAACAATTAGTACACATATTATTTTGTGACATTGGTTACCAACCCCACGACATGTCAACACTCTCGCTTCTCAACCTTGGGTTCCCTATTACCAGCTTCCCTGTCCCCAGTGAGGGTAATTTTCTGTTGGAAACATCTGATCACAACCAGATTAGTTCTCAAGGCTCAGGGGTCTTTAACAAGACAAAAGGGAGGGAGAAGGAGAAGGAGAAACAGGAGACAGAAAAGCAGACAGAAGCGAGGACAAGATAATGTAAACTTCCCGGCAACGTATTTGCCTCGAATTGAATTTTGCTCAATTCAACTCAATAGAGCCAATATTTTCTGAGAGGCAGCTAAGTGCCATACACTTTGCCAGGCCAGAGATACAAAGACTTGGCCACTATCCTAACTAGTAGAAAAGGACAGGTAAACAAAAGTAGTGTAATGCTTGCTCAGTTTTCCAGAACTGTGACAGGATTCGGCCCCCTTTGAACAAGACCTAGACTTCATGTCACCCTCACTTCTCCCACTTCTTTACCTGACACTAGTGTTCAGGTTGAAGAAAAAAAAACAACAACATTCATTTATTCATCCATTCATTCATCTAATAAATACTTATTGTTGTTGAGTTGATTCCAACTCATAGTGACCCTATAGGACAGAGTAGAACTGCCCCACAGAGTTTCCAAGGAGCAGCTGGTAGATTTGAACTGTTGACCTTTTTTGGTTAACAGCCGAGCTCTTCACCACCACACCACCAGGGCTCCAATACTTATTAGGAACCTATTATGTGCTAGACACTGGTGAAACAATGGTGAACAAAACCAAACCAGTCCTGGCCTAGTGCTGCTTGCACTCCGGTGGGGGAGGGAAATAAGTGATTGAATAATCACGTACATGAAGAAAGAATGGCAAAATGGGGAGACATGCCATGAAGGACAGTGACGCGGTGCTGAGAGAGTCCTGACCTGGTGAGGCAGGGCCTGGAAGGCTTCCCGGTGGATGTGACGACTGAGCTGACAGGAAGAGAAAGAGGGAGACAGCAGGCCACCGAGGGCGGGAATCATGTTTCAGGCAGAGGTGGGCACACCTTAAGTCTCTTCAGCAGGAAGGAGCATGGTGAGTCCACGGGACTGCAGGGGGCCAGGGTGGCAGAAGTAGAGGCAATGGGGCCGAGCTGGCTTCATGGGCCTGTGACCTTGAAACCGCACAGGGCCCCATGCTCAGAAGGGCCCTGATGTGCTGCTGTTGCCATTCAGGTATATTCAATCATTTTATCTTTGAATGTGTGTTTTGTAAGTGAAGTCTGATGGGACAATGGAGCATGCTTATGAGCAGAGGAGATACACGTAATATTCACATCCACCTTTCTTAGTTGCTCCTTCATGTTTTAGTATTTGTGATGCCCCATGAACACAGAATTTCAGCGGACCCATGACATATGGGAGCTCAGCGAGATTTAAAGCTAGTACAAGGTAAGGGTGCTACATCTAAACTGAGTAAGCGAGGGTCCTGACAGCCCCAAGAGGCCACACTTGCGGTTCAAACTATAACTTACATTGAATGCAGAAAGAAGGCAGTGGTGTTTTAAGGAACACCATCAGCCAGGGAACCCTATCATATCCTTTCTTACTCGTGTTACTTCTCCGTATTAGCCAACCACTTACGCTGAAAAGGACAGCAGAGAAGGAAAGATAAGGCTATTCATAGTTCTTTTCCTTTCAGGCCTTCCTTACTCATCAGTAAACCAATGATAGAGAGTGTTGGTAGAATATGTGCATATCAAGAAATTAAATAAAAATAGGTGAGTTAGTTTTGTGCAGCATTTACATTGTTCTGGAAGAATGAAATATATCTGTAGACACGAGCTGCGAAATATGAATTATGTAATTTCAGTGATCCTGCACACCAATTAAATATTCTTTTATAAGCATTTAAAACTGGCATTGCATAATATAAAGATCAATGATAAAACATAGGCTAATAATTTAAAATTTTACTTTTTCTTAACTTAAAACGACATTAAGTAGCAAATAAAAACCACCACCACAAGTTGACGGAGAGACCGTGAAAGAAAGGTCCCGGGATGGAGTCCTGAGGAAGAAAAATGTTTAAAACTTCAGTTCCCAATGTTAGTGTCATGACACACTGGATTAGCTTGCTCTTTTCTGAGGCCTGTCACTAGACTTCGTTACTAATTATAAGGTACTGCATGGGAAGAAGGAGCCCTGGAGGTGCAGTGGTTAAGCACTCTGCTGCTAACTCAAAGGTTGGTGGTTCGAACTCACCAGCTGCTCTGCAGGAGAAAGATGTAGCAGTCTGCTTCTATAAAGACTACAGCCTTGGAAACCCTATGGGGCAGTTCTGCTCTGTCCTATAAGGTCACTATGAGTCAGAATCAACTCGATGGCAGTGGGTTGGTTTTTGGGGGCAGTGGGAAGGTGGTGGTGTACCTATAAGTAAGAGATTATATCTA